CTCTTTCACCATATCAATGTTCTCTTCACATTAGTAAGGGATACCATTCCTTTGAAGAAGTAAGCTACTTTAAAAACAAAACATTTAAACAGTCTTTCCCCCAGAAAATAGATAGACAGACAGCCCTGAGGTACTGATTCCCATCCTACTGGCAGGTCTTCTGTCTTTTAGAGTATCTTTGGAGTAGCATCTACTTTAGTATAAGTAGTAGAATCAAGGACTGGATTTTCAAAATTATCTGCACTGTGTGTGTGTTTATTTTTAACACAGTGCAAATAAATATGTGTGTGCATATATATTCTTTAAGGGAATTAGGATCATGTTCAATGTACTGTTTTGTAACCTTATTATTACAATTAATGCATTTTAAGCATTTTTCCTGTAATGTTAATTATCAAGAACACTGGTATTTTACGGTGGTCATGATAGACCAGTATCATGAGGTGGTAGAATGTACCCAGGAGCCAGTAGTTAGTCTGGCCCTGAGCTGTCAGACAAACTTCTTAAACTCTTTGAGCCTTCCTACCTGCAACATTCTCTTGAGGATTAGAAATAAGTTTAAATGACAAACCCTGGGAGAATAGTCTCAACAAGTCATTATTAATTGTTCCCAGTGTTTTGATTTAATCCATTAGTGTCCATAATGAAGTGTGTGCATGAAGATTCTTTGGGGGGCAAAAGAAAATAGTAGGATTTATGTTTCTATTTCATTTTAATCTCACTTTTTTACAATTTCTATTTTTGTGTATATTTTAAAATATATTAATATAGTAGCACTGTTTTATAATAATACGCATTTGTAACTTGAAAGTGCATGCTCAAATTCTTTTTACTGATAGGAATATACAAAATTGTTTCTAGGGTATTATTTCCACCTGGTGGCCAGTTGTGTGGTAAAAATTAATTTCTCCTAACAGTGGACCTCAATCTCAAAAGGTAAAGGAATAGTTTTCCAATTTATGCTGTGCCATAGTTCAATCCTAGGACTTCTCAAAAGGATTACTCAAGCAACAATAATAATAGTACTAGTAGTAATAATAATATCATATTTTACAAAGATTTCCAGTGCCTTATAAATCTATACAATAAAAGCCCAGCGACCAAAACAGCTAAACGACCAGGACAGCCAGAGACCAGAACGACTGCCGCCCCTTGCTCTGGCTGGACCCGCCCCCCAGCAGGGACCCCAACACCAATCAGGGGCATGGCTGGCCTGCAAAACCCCGAAGCCCCTCACCTCAGCTGGCCCCGCTTCCCAGCAGTGACCCATACCCCGATTAGGGGTGGGGTTGGCCAGCAAACCGCTCTGACCCCGCCCCCCAGCAGGGGACTCCCACCCCGATCAGGGGTGTGGCTGGCCTGCAAACCACCCATGGCCCCTCCCCCTAGTGGGGACCCCCCCAATCCAGGGCCCCCATCAGGGCAGGCGGGCCGGCCCCCACCTGTGCACCAGGCCTCTATCCTATTATAAAAGGGTAATATGCAAATTGGCTCTAATGGCAGAACGACCACTCGACCAGTCACTATGAGGCACACTGACTGCCTCTCGGTCCCTTTCCCTGGCCAACAGTCTCTGATCACCCAATGGCGAATGGGGAACCGGGGGTGGGTGATGGGGAACACGGGTGGTACCAGGCCAAGGCCCCCACCCCACCAGTCACCCACACACAGGCAACCCACGGCAGGGGCGGGGGCGGGGCCTCCTCCTGGCCAGCAGGCTCTGATCACCCGATGGCGATGGCAAACGGGGAACTGGGGGGTGGGTGGCAGCGGGGGGCGGGGCCGGCTGCGGGCAGCCAGGGAAGATGGCCCTGATCGCAGGCCAAGCCTAGGGACTGTAGCGCCGGGCCTCTAGTAAGAATATAAAAACAAGCTTAGGCAATAGAATAATTTTTGATTTTTAAATGTTACTGTTTCATATGTAATTACAAGTGTTAATCATGGTATTAAAGTTTGGTGTACATTTACAAAGGAAAATGAAAGTTGAGGTTTTAGTAGAGCAGAAAAACACTAGCTTTAAAAGTGAAATCTGAAACCATGAAAAGAGGTTCAGCTTTCCTGGTATTCAGGAATGATTACTGAAGGCAGGTTGACTGAAAATGCAAACTGAAACCTTAAAGTACAGTGTCTTGCCCACCATATTGGCAGAAATGTTTAAAGTCTGATTATTTTCCAGGGTTGGTGAGGATGTGGGGATTGCTGTGGTGGAAAGCCATACTGCCACTTTGGAGGACAATTTGGCAACATTTTCATATATAAAAAAGCTCATGCCATTCATTGTCTCTGGATCCGCCTTAGGGCAACACTCTTACACAAGAGGCATGCACAGATACGTTCATGCAGCATCACTGTTAATAGCAAACCGTTGGAGACAGCCATAATTGGGGGACTAGTTTTTAAAATATGACTTTAAAAAAATTAAAATGTAATTCGCATACCATAAACTTCACAGTTTCCAAGTGTAAAATTCACAGGGTTGTGCAACCACCACTACCATCTAAGTCCAGAACAGTTTCATCCTTTCAAAAAGAAACCCTTTATCCATTTGCAGTCACTCCCCATTTCCCCCTTTCCTCTATAACAATTTTATTGAGATATAATTCACATACCATACAAGTTACCCATTTAACTGTACAATTCAGTGTTTACTATAGGCACAGGATTGTGCAACCATTCTAAAAATTGACTTTAGAACATTTTCATCATCCCAAAAAGAAACCTCATGCCCTTTAGCTATTGCCCCCAAAGCCCTACTCCTCAATCCTAGGCAATCATTTCTGACTCTATAGATTTGCCTATTCTGGATATTTCATTTAAATGCATCATAAAATACACCTTTTATGTCTGGCTTCTTGCACTTACCATGTTTTCAAGATTCATCCACATTGCACCATGAATTAGTGCTTCATTCCTTTTTATTGCCAGATAATATTACATTGTATGGATATACCACATTTTTTATCCATTAATCACTTGATAGACATTTGGGTTGTATCCACCTTTGGGCTATTTTGAATAATGCTGTCAATGAACATCCATATACAAGTTTCTGTAGGAAAGTACACTTTCAGTTGTCTTGGTGGAATTCCTGAATCCTGTGGTAACTCAGTTTAATTTTTCGAGGAACTGCCAAACTGGTTTCCCACAGCAATTGCACCATTTTACATTCCCACCATCAATGTATGAGGGTTCCGGTTTCTCTGTAGCCCTGCCAACACTTGTTTTCTGTGTTTTTGAAAATTATAACCATCCTAGTGGGTATGAAGAGGTATCTCATTATGGTTTTGATTTGCATTTCCCTGATGACTAATGTTGTTAAGCATCTTTTCATGTACTTGTTGGCCATTTGTATATCTCCTTTGCAGAAATATCTATTCAACCTGTGGCATTTTTATGCTGTGCTGTAGAACTGTTAAAAGGAATGAGGCAGATTTGCATGTAATAATCCCTGGCCTATTTTTACATATAGATCAAGACTTACACTGAGCAAAATAGCAAATAGTAGAAAGATACATTGCAGCACCATAAATTTTATATAAATAAACATAGCTGTGCCTTGTGTATACACACACACACACACACACACACACACACCACACCAGGACTATATGTTTAAATATAAATATGTAAGGGGATAGAGAAGTGTCTGATAGAATATTCCTCAAACCTGTCAAGATGGTTGGTTACCTTGGGGCAGGAAAAGAGAGAGTTAAGATGAGAGTGGGATTTCATCAAAAGGGACTTTTGGTTTTTTTATAACATTTTAAGAGTATTAATGAACTAGTTACTTGACAAAAATTTGTATAAAACTCCTTAAAATGTATATACAACTTGAAGAGATAAGGAAAAAGAAGCAACTGGGGAACTCTAGCTGGAGAGGGCTTAGAATCAGTGCTTCCTGCCACCTGACAAATGAATGCAGCTCCTGTACTGCAAATATGGTCATCGCCTCCCTTTATAGCTCAGATTTCTTTTGTCTTGGTCTCTCTTTCAAAGTAACTTTATTACTCTTTTAATAATACATAACAATTCAAATAGTATAGAGGTTTATAAAGTTTAAATTGCTCATCTCTCTTCACCTCAAGTCCCTCCTTCTCCATGACAATTTGTGTTAGTACAGCTCCTTTTCCCAATAAACTTCTGTGTCCTAGTTTTGTCTCCTCACCCCTCCCAGAAGGTCTGTTTCTTCAGCTTTCTGTATTTGATGGGGGAAAGCTCCTTCCTCTGTAGGGAAAGGGGAGTCTGTCGTTCAGTGTCTATGACAGTGGTCTTCAGACTTGCCTTGTGTCACCCCCTACCAGAGATGGTGATTCAGTGGGTCTGGAGTTCTGCTCTGGTGTCTCGATTTTATAAAAAGCTCCCATGGTGATTCTGATGAGCCAACAGGGTTAAGAAGTATTTACCTAGTGAATAACACAGCAGTCATAAATTGTACCCATGATGTTTGTTTGAGAATTATTTTATGAGAGAGTAATGAAACTGTCAGCTTTATGGAAACATGCCTGAACTTAAATGGTCTGTTTTGTTCCAGAAATTTCAGATAATTTTCAACATTTGGTTTTATCTCTGACTAAATACTCTACATTGAGCTGCCATCTGAGTCTGAGAAAGTGATCTTGGGTTCATTTTTGAAAATGGTAGGAATAAGGGGCAAACTTAGCTTGTAAGATTTCTCCCATTTCACATTGAAAATGGTGGATGTAGAAAGATGAAAGGTGTTAAATCTTCTGTGTCAGGCAGACTGTTCCTGGGTCCTATTTTGTAAGCTGTTTCTCCCCCGAGATTTCTGTGGACTTCATGATAGTATGTTTGCCTGAGAGACTCATGCAACTCCTAAAACTTCACACTAATTTCCATTCTTATGTTTTCAGACATGAAACTTGTAGCAATTCATAAAAGCCATTTAGAGACATAATAATACTCACTTTCTCTAGAATAATAAACCTGAGTAATCTTTCTCATACCTTAAATTTATATTAAACTTACATTTTCTCTTCTAGGTATTCTCATGGGAGCAGTTATAAAAATTATAGAGTTTAAAAAACTGGCAAATTGGAAGGTAGGTTCATTTTTAACATAATTATGGGTTTTTTTGGTTGTTCTTAATTTTAGCAACACTGATAGTTATGGTGGCTCTCTTATCAATGAAGTTTATATTATCACATTAATTTTTTTTAACATTCTATTAGATTAGGGTTGATACCTTCACAACTTAGCTTTTAAAATATATATCTGTTTCAAGTTAACATGGAGTACTAAATGTTATGTTATTTATGCACATTTTTATAATCTTAAGGGAAGGCTCTAATTAGCATTATTTATTTTATTTATTTAACCTTAGAGAGAGAAAAACACCAATTGGTTGCCTCCCTCACATGCCCCGACCAGGGATCGAACCCAAAATCTGGGTATGTGCTCTGATTGGGAATCGAACCCGCCACCTTTTGGTGTACAGGATAACACTCCAACCAACTGAACCACACTAGACAGGGCTCTAATTATTGTTAAATATTAAACAATGTTGATAGCTTCCAATTCTATACTCACAGCTGAGAATAATAAAACATACTTGTCCAGCACTGTAGAGCTTACAGTATGCTTTACAAACTATAGCTCATGCTGTCCCCATGATATCCATGGGAGGTAGATTGAGTATTATCATCACCCCATTTTTACAGATGAGGAAAGTAATGCCCAGAGAAGTCGGGACATGTCCAACGTCACAGAACTATGAAGTGGCTGAGTTGAGTCATGTGTCCACACCCTCTAGCCCCGTATATTCTATGTTTTCTCCATGGCACCATGCTGGCCTGAGTTTGTGGATGTCCATGCCTTTGTGTTTACACAGTGGTCATTAGAGAGTGAGCATCATCTTGTGGCATAAAGACTAATTGAAACTTGAATTTAAACTTAAACTTGAGCATTCATATTGAGTAGAGAGATTAACAAGTGTGTTACAAAATGGAATTGTGAATGGAAATAAGGTCCATTTCAAAATATTAAAGAATTGGATGGTTAAACTTTATCACATTTGAGCTCCCCTGGGGTTAATCTGCCTGCTAAGCTGTAGAGCAGTGGTCGCCAACCTTTCGGACCTCACTGACCACCAGTGTTCCGCGGACCACCAGTTGGTGACCGCTGCTGTAGAGTATACACTTTGTAAAACAAGCCATATGACCATTGTTTGAAGCACAATTTGAAATTGTTTTACATAATATTCAGGAAATATTATATGTTTACATGAATTCTCAAGTGTATATTCAGCTTCTAATAGTACAGAACCCCCCTCAGCTGAGCTGAGGCTGGGCAGGCCCCACTGGAGCACATTGTGAATGGTATCTCTGCCTCCTGCAACTTGTTACATTTAACCATCCTCGCTGGGGCTCCTCCTAGGCCGTGGGGTACAGACTGGAACCCTTTCTCTCCTCCTAGGCTTGTCAGAGCCTGATCTGTACCTAACACATTTTGTTTCACTTGATTTAAAAGCAGTTGATCAAAATTTAAATTGATTTAAAAACAATTTAAAGTTGTTTTATTTTTAAACATTATTAATCCATATAAAATTCTGGAATTTTCACATAAAAATCTGAACTCCTAGCTTCTCTTGAAAAAGCAGCTCTCTTGCCCTAACCGGTTTGGCTCAGTGGATAGAGCGTTGGCCTGCGGGCTGAAGGGTCCCAGGTTCGATTCTGGTCAAGGGCATGTACCTTGGTTGCGGGCACATCCCCAGTGGGGGGTGTGCAGGAAGCAGCTGATCGATGTTTCTCTCTCATGATGTTTCTCTCTCATCGATGCTTCTAACTCTATCCCTCTCCCTTCCTCTCTGTAAAAAATCAATAAAATACATTAAAAAAGAAAAAGAAGCTCTCTTAACAGCAGCCTGCATTCTGCCCAGCAGAAATACAAGGCACCGAGGGGCAGCTGCTCCCCTGGTAGCACCATGTGGCCCCTGGAAACCTTTGAGTTGTGACCCTGCTCTGAGTGGTGAGAGGAGAGGAGGGCAGGTTATCTCACACTTTTAGTTTTACATGCTTCAGTGTTAGTGAATTTATTTTTACAGATGTTTCAAGTTAAAATAATAGTAATACATTTAAGAGTACAGACAAGTGAGCCAGAGTTGGGTGATTAATTAAGTGCCTGCAGAGCCATCCAGGCAACCAATGCTTGACCTCAGAAAAGGGCAAGGTTTCTAGCGGGGGCGATAGGGGCAGGCTTCCTGGAAGACCAGTGTTTGTGTAACGCCGAAGCGGGAAGCAGGACACCTGTTTGGAACCTGGGTGCTGCAGGGAGCAATGGGAGAGAAGAAAAGCAAGGAGCTTGTGGTTGTTTTTTCTCCAAGAAGTTCTATTTTCAGGCTGTCTCACTGGGTCTGCCTTCTACCTGTGTTGTCGTATGTTCAATATATTTCTCTAAATCAATTGCTTTTTTATTTATATACATTTTTGTAGCAGTTTTTTTTTAAAGCTTTATTATGGTAAAATATACATAACATAAAAGTTTCCATTTTAGCTATTTTCAATTGTACAATTCAGTAGCATTAAATACATCCACAATGTTATATAATCATCACCACTATCTATTTTCAGAAGTTTTTCATCATTCTAGTGGAAACTCAATCCATTAAACAATTCCCCATTCTCTCCTCCCTATTTTCTTTTATATATATCTATATCTATCTATCTATCTATATAATTTTTAAAAATTGATTTCACAGGGGAAGAGAGAGTGAGAGAGAGATAGAAACATCAATGATGAGAGAGAATCTTTTTTTTTTATATTTTATTGATTTTTTACAGAGAGGAAGGGAGAGGGATAGAGAGTCAGAAACATCGATGAGAGAGAAACATCGACCAGCTGCTTCCTGCACACCCCCCACTGGGGATGTGCCTGCAACCAAGGTACATGCCCTTGACCGGAATCGAACCTGGGACCTTTCAGTCCGCAGGCCGACGCTCTATCCACTGAGCCAAACCGGTTACGGCGAGAGAGAATCTTTTGATCAGCTGCCTCCTGCATGCCCCCTACTGGGGGTCAAGCCCACAACCTGGCATTTGCCCTGACGGGAAATTGAACTATGACCTCCTGGTTCATAGATTGATGCTTAACCACTGAACCACACCGGCTGGGCCCTCCCACTTTCTATTCTTTTTTTTTTAGTAGCCCTATTCTACTTTCTGTCTTTATGAATTTACCTATTCTAGTTGCCAAATGTAAGTGAAATCATATAATATTTAGCCCTTTGTGTCTGGCTAATTTTACTTAGCATGTTGTTTTTAAGGTTCATCCATGTTGTAGCATATATCAGAATTGCCTTTCTTTTTATGGCTGAATGATGTTCCATGTAGGTTTGTACCATACTTTATCTATTCATCCATTGATGAACCCTTGGTTTGTTTCCACCTTTTAACTGTTGTACATAATGCTGCAATGAACTTTATTTTAAAGGAAACATCATAGTACTGTTTTAAGTGGAAAACCAATATCATTTTTATAAATAAACACTATAAAAACAAAGGAATACTGAAGTCTCTAAGGTCAAGCCTTTCAAAGGAAGAGGTCAGCACACTGGAAAGAGGCTGTACTCACTGTTGCACCAGACTGAGGTGGCTTTGACTTAACTGGGGTTGAAAAAGAATCCAAAAGGACTGACTTTCTCAGTCTGCGGGGTCAGCAGTATTTGACACACACTTCTCAAGTGCCATCGAAAATCATCTCAGACTATTTTGGGGGAGATGTTGCCAAAAGGAACCAGGGACCTTTCTAAAACACTATTCACCGTAAAGTGGTGGATGCATTTCCTGTGGCTGCTGTAACAAATTGCCACAAACTGGGTGACTTAAAACAACTGAGATTATTCTCTCATCGTTCTGGAGGCTAGAAATCTGAAATGAAGGTGTTGGCAGAGCCTTTAGGGAGCAAATCCAGGCTCCCAGGGAGAATCCTTCATTGTCTCTTCTGGTGGCCCAGGTATTCCTTGGCTGTGTCTCTGCCTTAGTCCATCTTAACACGGCCTTCTCTGTGTCTGAGTGTCCTTTTCTATCCCTAATGAGAACACTGTCATTGGGTTTGGGACTCATCCTAATCCAGGATGATCTCATCAGGATCCTTCCCTTAATTCCATCTGCAAAGACCCGATTTCCAAATGAGGTCAGACTCTGAGGTTCCAGGTGAACATGAATTGGGGCTGGAGGACAGGAGGAAATCCATTGTAGGTGGGTTCTCCTTCTTCCCAGGGAAGGGTTAGTTTCTGAAACTCCAAAAGAATCTGTACAGTTCCTGAGAATTGGTTGCCCCACAAACCCAGAGATCAGCCCGTTTCTTTTCACGTGGTCCCAGCCTGAGTCATGAGCTTGTTGTACAGGCAGTTATTTTAAGACTTAATCAGAAGTCATTTGCTTCTATTTTGAGCCTTTCTTAAATGCTATTTTAGTCTTTATGGTAACAGCTGTATATTTATAAGAATACATTTAGTTATTCTTTTGAATAGAGAATTTTGACAAGAAGCCAGACTATCAAGATTGTGGCATAGAAATTTTCATATGAAAAATGGCCTGATTTTGCAGTATTTTATAGACTGTGTATTACATGTAGTCATTTTGGGCTTGAAGACCAATATGTGTTTTCCCCCATCCACCAACAATTAGAGAAATATGTTAATATAGAAAATCCAACTATTATTTCATTCCACCAAAGATGGCAATACCTAGAAATACCTTTCATAATTGCACTTAATATTTGAATCTGGAAGCATGGTGAGGGACTGGCTTGATAGCCATGTCCCAAGTTGTGAGGGCATCAGGAGGGGACTCTTATCTCAGTCAGATGGGGAAATGCAGAGTTGTCTGTGACAGAGAAAAGGCAGAGCCGTCATAGGCACGTGGAGGGTTTACTCTTCCTCTCAGTGAATTGTTTTAGGGTTTACCATTGCCTTTGTCCTGGAGGGTTCCATTTGTGGACTTGTTTTTGAAAGTGTTCTGCTTGAATTGAAAAGTTTTCTACATTAAAATTAATTTTCTTTCCTTAGTAAAGGATAAAAAGCATACGACTGTGTGTTTGGAAGCGATTCATTCTGCTTTTTCTTTTGCTGGTCACCTTTTAAACTCACCCTACTTTTTAAAAATATATATATATATTTATTGATTTCAGAGAGGAAGGGGGAGGGAGAGAGAGATAGAAACATCAATGATGAGAGGGAATCGTTGATCAGCTGCCTCCTGCACAACCCCTACTGGGGATCGAGCCCACACCCCAGGCATGTGCCTTGACTGGAATCGAACCCTGGACCCTTCATTCGCAGGCTGATGCTCTATCCACTGAGCCAAACAGGCTAGGGCTGTCCTACATTGTTAAATACACTTTTTTTTGGTGGTGGGGGCGTTATTTTTTATTTTCTTGTCTGTCCTCCTGCTTGGTTGTTTTTATCAGGTAGTTATTTAAGCATGGTATGTTTCCACTGGGCCAGGCCTGAGAGAATTACTTTGGCTCTTCATTGATGGATTTAGTTCTTAATTACACAAATTCCATGCCTCTAAAAATACCCATTTTATGTTTACAGGAAGAAGAAATGTTTCGTCCAAATATGTTTTTCCTTCTATTGCTTCCACCTATTATATTTGAGTCAGGATATTCACTACACAAGGTAAGACTCAGACATATATTAGTGTTTTTGGTCTGGGAGGCTTCCTGTGTTGGTAAGGCTAGTTCCTTAGAAGCTTGGGTGTTGATTTAGCAGTGGTATCTCCGTGTACACATCCTGGGTATGCTGGACTGGACTGCCTGACTTGTGGACAGGAGCAGACATGGTCAATGGGCTGCTTTCATGGTTTCAGGCAGTGTGGCTTATTAAACTAGTGTATTCCATAGAAGGGAGCTTTGCCTAGGAAGATGGTCAAAGTGATACTAAGTGGTACACGGATGACACAATGACTCTTCTTGTTGGACACAGACTAGCACATGTTAAAAGGATGGAGTTTGTCCTGGGTGAACAGGGACATGTACCCTGGGCCTTTTGATTCTCTTAGCTCATCATGTGGGACCGTTCTCCCTCCTTAGGCCCCTTCATCCTTCAGTATCTCCCCTCTCAGTACCATACCCTGGGCCTCAACTCCCAGCTTGTATTCCCCATCTTCCCCCGCTCCCCAGTCCAGCTACTCTTCACAGGCTGGAGCCCCATCTTTCTGCCTCATCTTCTAGCTCCTTCTGGCACATCCCCCCACTCCCACAGTTGTTCTGCTCATCCTTGGCTTCCGGGCTCCACCCTTAAGAGTGGCACTGCTGGCACCTGCATAGTTCCCTGCTTTGCCTTGTAATTTCTGGTCTCTGTCCTCCAACTTCCAGTGGGACTTTCTGCCTGGGCGGGAGTTTCTCCCTTTTCAGCTAGTTTTGTGTGTGTACATGGGTTTTTTTTCTTTGCCTATCAGTTTTCTTTAAATGTAAATGTATTTAAGTTTTAAAATACACGGTTCAACTTAAAATGTTAGTAATAAAGTTATTTTGTGAGTATGATAAAAAATTATGAAGGTTGAAAGGACTAAGATTTGGCCTACCATTGGAAAGAGGAAAGAGCCTGGGCTTTGGAGCCAGAGACCAAGTTCTAATCATGTGCTGCCCCCTATGGATTGCTTTTGGGTACAGCAGATATTCAAAACAAAAAACAAAAACAAAACACTACCTCTCAGGTTGCTTTGAAATTTACACTAGCCCTAGCTGGTTTGGCTCAGTGGATAGAGCATCAGTCTGTGGACTGAAGGGTCCTGGGGTTGATTCCAGTCAAGGGCACATGCCCAGGTTGCAGTCTCGATCCCCAGTAGGGGGTGCGCAGGAGGCAGCTGGTTAATGATTCTCTCATCATTGATGTTTCTATCTCTCTCTCCCTCTCCCGTCCTCTCTGAAATCAGTAAAATATTTTTTTAAAAAAAAGAAATTTACACTAGATGAAAGAATATGTGCAAAGCACCACCCATTACGTTAAATAAATGGTAGTGCTTCTTGTTATTAATAATACTTATTATTACTAATATTAATATTACTAGTAGTAGTATGAGCAATAACATAATAAAGACTTAATTTGTCAAGAAAGTTTTGGTTAAAACATACAAATTAATCTCTAATTTTTCCCCTGGGTACCAAAGCAAAAATATTCTAAGATGTTCAGTTCAGAATTTTTAAATTGTTATTTTATTATTATTATTTAGTCCTTACCAGAGGATATTTTTTTTATTGATTTTCAGAGAGAGTGGAAGGGAGGGTGGTGGGGAGGAGAGAGAGAGAGAAACATCAACGTCAGAGACACATTGATTGGTTACCTCCTGCCCGCACCCCAACCAGGATTGGGGATCTAACTGCAACCAAGATATGTGCCTTTGATCGAGAACTGAACCCACGACCCTTTGGTTCATGGGCTGACACTCTAACCACTGAGAAAAACCAGCCAGTGCTATTTTATTGTACATTTATCCACCTGAAATGTGAAAAGGAAGTTTAATTTTAAAAAAAAATCCCAAGTCTTATAAATTACTGACATCAGGTAATTGTTAAAAAGAAAACAAGCAAGGAGAAATTGAAAGTCAACATCCTTTATTCTTTCATTTCATAAATAATTCTTAAAAGAACTATCAGCAGATTATGAAAATATTTCAAAACAAATTTGAGGAAATTATTTTGATTTTGACTTAAAAACATAACACTGATTACTATATTAGAGCTTGGAAAGTTTTATTTTCTAATTTTTTGAGTGAAAGAAAATAAACTTGTTAAAAATTTGAGGAAAATAATAGTTTTTAAAAAATCATTTCTTGACTTGGGATAGTGAACACATAATACAATATACAGATGATGTATTACAGAATTGTACACCTGAAACCTATATAATTTTATTAACCAATGTCACCCCAATAAATTCAATTGAGAAAAACAAACAAAAAAATAATCTCTTTGAAGATGGCTTTCCAGCAGAGAATGTGATAATTTATGTGAAAGGTACTAATGTGATTTGGAAATGTGAATTCAGAACTGTCTACTTCTTACCTTCCACCAAAGAAGATAGGAAGTCAACTCTGAATGTTTTATTTTAATATTGCTGTATTTGCAAATGTAAATTTGGACTTGGAATAAAAAATTCAGTAAGACTATTCTAAGTTGATATGCATTAGGTAGACAGGTATTAGCTCTTTAAATTATTAATATCATACAAAGGATAGAATGATAAGTATGTCAGAAACAGATATATTCACTTTGTATAGCAAAGGGAAATTCTTATAGTGTGGTAATTTGTATTTGGGCAAATTTTCAATATCCAGATTAATATTAACCAACTACATATATTTATCAGAATTAGCTCCCTATAAACAGACCAAGACTTAGTTTAATCTATCCTATATAATAAAAGCCTAATATGCAAATCAACCAAACAGTGGAACGACCAGTTGCTATGACGAGCACTGACCACCAGGGGACAGATGCTCAACGCAAGAGCTGCCCCCAGCCCGCAGGCCCCAGGCCAGCCAAGGCGGGTGCCAACGGGGACCCCCCAATCGCCCCACCGGTCGCCCCACAGATGGGCCCTGATTGCCAGCCAGGCCTACGGACCCTACTCATGCACGAATTTCGTGCACTGGGCCTCTAGTTTTTTTTTTTTTAATTTTTTATTTTTTTTTATAATTTTTTTCTATTGCTTAAATTATTACAAAGAGTATTACATATGTCTCCTTTTTTTTCCCCCCGCCCTTGACAATCCCCTGGCCTCCCCTACCCCCCAGTGTCTTATGTCCTGGGCCTCTAGTTTTAAAATAACAAAATAAAGCAGCTTTTTGCAAAGACAAACTCATAGATGAAAGCCTTTTGTTTAGAAAAAAACAATCATTGTGTTTGACTTGAGTTATTTGAAAGTTCCTTGTGCGCTAAGGATTGATATGCCAAGCAAAGTAATTGAATGCCAGATTATGGGCAGCCGAATCAAAATTGCAATGAATAAAGCAAAGAAACTTCCTGAAGGAGACAGGATTAGTGAGTTGTCAGGGTTAAGCTGAGCACACCCTTTTGAAGTGAGCTTTAAAATGTCAGTCCCTGTTGTCTATGGCTTGACAGCTCCTGAGTGAAAAGATGGGATCCCTTGTCCACGCTCACAGTCAAGGGGTTGTCAATGTTCCCTGGTGTTGCTCCTAAGTGTGTCCACAGGATTCTAATAAACAGCTAATTTTCTTAATTTTATGGAAATGTAAAAGATGCTACCATGCTACTTGGACTCAAATATTTTCTCTTAAATGCCATAGAGTATAGATGGAAATATATTTTATCTGTCATATTTATATTTGATGATGATAGAGTGAAATAAAATTGTTTAAAAGACCTAGAAAACAGAAAGGAGTTTCTGATAGTATAATCTACTGTCTTAACACTGTAGTGATGCACCTTTTCTTAATTAAACAAAAAATTATAATTGTATAAACTTTGGACTTTGATCAGACATGAAACACGATTAATTACTTTGGTACCTACTCAACTGGGCATCTTTCATCTGACACGCATTATTTCAGTGACGTTGTACAAAAGCAGATGTGGTCATTGCCCCTGTTGAGCCTGCAGCCTAGTGGGAAAGACAGATATCAGTCAAATCATTACATAAATAAATGTAAATTTTCAGCCATATCACGTGCTGCCAGGAGAGGGTCATTATGCATTGAGAGCATAGAACAGGATCTGACCTTGCTAAGGGATCAGAGAAGGCTTCCCTCAGGAAGAGTGTCCTGAGAACTTAGGGTGATTAGAGTTCACCAAGCAAAGAGGAAGGAAGAGTGGTCCAAACCCAGGGAGCACAGTACGCTTGAAGAACAAAAAACCACCAGTGTGACTGGCATCCAGAAAACAAAAGGGAGGGCGTTAGAGGCCTTCACAGGGGGTCGAACCATCCAGGCTTTGGTTGGGTTTTAGCTGCATTTCGAGTGGAAGTGGGGGTCAGAGTGAAGGTAGCACAATCAGATTTGTCTTTTGCAACGATCATTCTGGAAGCCCTTGGAGGGCAAGGAGCCAGGAATGGTTGAGAGTTGCTAGAAGCTATTAAAGTGGTCCTGGGGAGAGATGATGGCGGCTTGGGCAAGGGCGGTGGAGATGACGATGGAGAGAAGCAGGGAGATGTGAGTGTCATGGGGAAGGTAAAAGCAACAGGCGCTGTATTAGATGTAGGCATGAGAGAAGACTCCCAGATTCCTAGCTTGCCAAATAGGTAGTGCCCTTCACAGAGAATCAAGCATGTCAGGAGGGCCAGGTGTGGGGGCCATGCCTTCATTGACTGGACCAGTTTTTCTAACCATTTCTCATTTCTGCTCTTTCAAACAGGGTAACTTCTTTCAAAATATTGGTTCCATCACCTTGTTTTCTGTTTTTGGTACAGCAATTTCTGCTTTTGTAGTAGGTGGAGGAATTTATTTTCTGGGTCAGGTAAGAAAAAACATCTGAAAATTTTTGAAAATCTTACATTCTTAGAGCTAGTGCAGGGAGGTGGGGTAGGGACACCTCATGGGACCTGGGGTTCACATTCAAGGAAATGCTCCCCTGGAGGGAAATCCAGACTTATATGAAGCACAGTAAAGTCATGCTAAACTTGTGTTTCAACTCAGTGTCCTCGAAGAGCTTTGATGTCTGGAGTTGAGTGAATTTTTCCCATAATCCTCAAAAGTATTTGTTTGCTCTTACTAGCAAATCAATATTGTCTTACGTTAGAATGCCTAAAAATAAAGCAGACTAGATATCACCAAGATCTTCAGATTATAACAATATCAGTTGTGTTGTTAGGTATACCGAATCAGGGTTAAATGCTCATTTTTATTTATTTTTTTTTTACAAAAATTACAGATGATTCTGAGTATGTTCACTCAATTCTAACTCATCCATCTGTAGAGTTATACACTCTGGATCAGCTGCCTCCTGCACATCTCCCACTGGGGATGTGCCCGCAACCCAGGTACATGCCCTTGACCGGAATCACCAAGATCTTCAGATTATAACAATATCAGTTGTGTTGTTAGGTATACCGAATCAGGGTTAAATGCTCATTTTTAAATTGAAATTTGTGTTTCAAAAATTACAGATGATTCTGAGTATGTTCACTCAATTCTAACTCATCCATCTGTAGAGTTATACACTCTGGATTTTCCACCATTGCTAAACCAGTTCCCAATATCATCAATTGGGTGTTTGAGGTTCAAATTATTTGAATTCATTCAAGTCAGACCCACCTAGGAAGGTAGTATCTGTGGTTTTGCATTACGCACATTTGTGCAGGTCAGTTCTTTTCCTTTCTGGTCAGTAGCAGGAAGTTTACCTGCCCCAGTTCTGTAAAGTTCAAGGTTCAGACAGCTGGGCGACAGGCAGATTTCTCCTATTTGTATCAGATGTGCTTGCTTCCTTTGATGGCTGTAGGCTAAAGCCCATTCCATCTGATTTCACCTTCACTGCTGCCTCAGTGGCACCAGAATAAATGTCTGTCCTGCAACCTTCTTCATTGCCCAGCTTCTAGTACCAAATGGTAATAAACTTTAGAGAAGAAAACTCTTCTAAATTTGGCTTGAAAAATGTAGCATTCTTTGCCATACTTCTGTGGTATGATAATTGGATGCATGTCTAAACTAAAACTTGGGACTTTTTAAAAATGTTCAAGTGGTTTGAGGACTGAAGATGAATGTCCTTATCCATTTGTGATAAAGCGCTAATGGACATTTTAATCTTCTTGGCTGTTCTCCAGGGGATTTTTTTGTGTCTGTGTGTTTGTGTGTTTTATTTTACAGGCTGATGTAATCTCTAAACTCAACATGACAGACAGGTAAATCTTTCATACTCTAACACTACGTGACTACTTTTGAGACACAGGAAAGAGTTCTCTGTATTAGTTCCTGGGTGTGGTACCTCTCTGTTCTTTTTCTCTCTTTGTTTTGCTGATGATTTCTCTGTAGAATCTATTCTGAATTAATTCGGGTCCCTGGAATTAATCAAAACTAATCAAGGAAATTTTGAAGATCCCTAGTCAGACATTGCTGATTGGAACAATTAATTTAGTTTAAGCTCTGGAAGGAATAACTCTTGAGTTAACTGTCCCCCAAACACATACACACCACATGCTGCACCATTGTTTTATTGTTAAGAATTCTCTTCAACTGGGTTTATATCTTTTCAATGGCCACAATGAAAGTTGTCCTTTCTTTGATTTATTAGGGATGGAGGGGGGAGTGAGATGTGAATCTTTTTGCTTTGAATTTCCACCAAATTGGGTGGAGGTCCACTAGGGGAGCAGACGGGGCCAAGGGTTCTACTGCACATGTCCTCCTCATTCTGAAATTACTCCAGTGAGCTCTCAGAGCTGCTGCCCCGGAGCCCAGTCCAGGAACTTCCATAATTAGCTTAGCAAGAGGCCACCTAGCCAGCTGTCTCTCAGATGGTGCCAGATCTAGTACTGAAAAAGTGCACAAGCAGAGTTCAGCCTGGTTTCCCCGCTCTGAAAGTCCAGTGAGGATGCAGCCCTGCTCTGTGTTTCTGCATCCACAGCACTTGGTTCTGTCCTGTGGCACAGCTCGGGGAGCACTCAGGAAGCGGGAGCACTCAGCCCGAGTTCCTCCCATCCGGTCAGCCAGAGCTTTCAGCCTCTAGCAACACCTTGGGGACTCGAATCTTGGAGCCCTTTCATGGGCAATGTGCCTCTGATAACATTAGGTCCAATCTCTTTTCTCCCAGGGACATAAATTTCAGTGCTTTGGTTGTAAAATAGTTTTGATATATAAACAAGTAGCAAAAGTCACATTCCTATTCTATAAAGAACTGGAAATAAAACAGAACTGGTGCCCTGCATTTTGTAGGTATGTTGCCAGTGAAAAGAAATGCCCCAAGCCCAATCCAAGTAAAAGAAGAGGTCCCAGTGTTCAGTCCTTCAACCTGTTTGGGGGCAACTGGTTAGAGACACAGAAAATGCTTGATAAATTCTTATAAAATTGAATTGGGCAGATGCTTGGGATGTTCAGGCGAGAGGAGTAAGAGAATTGTTCCTTAGACAAGCAGAATAACAGCCAGGTAGAGTTTCTTTCTCTGGGTGCAGACACTTCGTTTCCTGTGGAAAGTGACTCCCACAGCTGGGGAGTGTTCTGCAGGGCCTGGCAGAGCACGCCACAGGGGAAGCTGGCCCGGTGGTGACAGGGAACCAGAGAGCACGCCTGTCTGAAAGGAACAGCCACTTCTCAGCTCCACCTAGTAATCACCATTATGGGCCCAGAATTACTAGATATTAAAAAATTGTTTTCGGCCCACTGGCATGGCTCTAGTTGGGTGTCGACCTATGAACCAGGAGGTCATGGTTCAATTCCCAGTTAGGGCGTATGCCGGGGTTGCAGGCTCAATCCCCAGTGTTGGGCGTGCAGGAGGCAGGCAATCAATGATTCTCTCTCATCATTGATCTTTCTATCTCTCTCTCCTTCTCCCTTCCTCTCTGAAATCAATAAAAGTGTATTTTTTAAAGCTTTTTTCAAAAGAGGCCAGGTTTTTAGATATTAATAGGGAATTTTCTGCTTTTCAAATGTTGACAGTTTATTCATTTCTTTAAAACACCATGCAAGTCAAACATGGGACCCACAGACCTCTGCACTAGAGAAAACATTAAACCTAAAACTTTGTTGCACTCTATTTTAGTGATATTTCTGCTGGAGAGATATTTTACTCTTCAATGCACCCTGAATTATTTCACCATCCTAGACTGTTTCCTTTTTGGTTTTTTGATGTTGCTATCCTTTGAGATGATGGAATCAAGAAAACACACTTTTAAGTTGAACTTCTAGCTTCTGATCTTTTTAAAAAACTGGGTCATGAAGGTGTGAAATGGAGCAACTGATGGCAAGGTCACATGACCCCTTAGATTCAGGCCTCTTGATGACTCAGGCAGGTCATAGTTCAGACTTTTCATAGTCTCTGTCGGAAATGCCCTGCCCCAATTTAGATTCCCAACCAAAGCTGAATGTGTTATATAATTTATTCAAAGCATTTCCCCCAACCCTTTATTATGAACATACAGCAAAGGTGGACATTGTACAGTGGCCACCCACATGACCGTCACAATGTCAGGAATCTCTTCTCCGCTGTCCCAGCTTAGCTGTTCCCTGATTCACTTTATCCTTGGGCACATTCACTCCATGTGGCCACACTGATGGCTCTGGGCTCACGTCACCCCTCAACCATCCCTGCCAAAAGGGCCAACCTAATTCCCCGTGACCTGGTGATGACCCTTGTTCACCAAGCCTGGGTCCCCTACCCACTCCTAGATGCCCAACGCAACTACATGGATGGAGGGAGAGTAGGGGAGGTGGCTCCCCAAAGGAAAATTGGGGTGCTATACCAAAACCAGGGTGCATGGGTGTTCAGGAGGGAGAACCATGCCTGTCTGCTGCACGGCACTGTAGGGTGGAGGGAGGGGCCAGCTGAGCCGAGCAAAGTCAGCACACAGCACACAACCCACCAGAGGCTCCCAAGCTCTCCCCACCCCTTCTCCGCCCCCTCCACTTCAGAATACATTTTTAGACCTTCTTCCTTCAAGGCCCCTGCAATGTCAGCATGGGTGATGAGAGTGGGGATAAAAGAAGAGAGATGAGAAGGTCTGAGCCTGAGTTGCAGCACAAGGGCTTCAAGGCCAGCTGCCAACCACACAGGGCAGTCGTTTGGGGGCATTGCCTGTCCTTCCCTCCCGCCCACTCTCCACAAACCTCTCTGGGCCATGCTCAGTACCACTCCTGGGACTATACCCATGACCAAAACACAGTACCCTCACCATGGCACTCACTGAAGGCGAGAGGCAGGCAAGGTCACAGCTCATAAGACATGTGACAGCTTCTGTGTGGACAGAAAGTCTGGGAACTGGCTCTGAGCTGAGCCTGTCTTTTGGGTCTGGTCCTCAGCTTGGGGTCCAGAGGCTCTCCTTGAGGTGAGCAGGCTCTCCTGGTAGAATTCACCTGAGTCACGCTCACAGGGAGCACCCAGGAAACCAGAACTGTAACTGGGAAGGCAGCCGAGCATCTCCCACGCCAGCACCCCTCTCCCGGAGCCTGAGTCCAGTGACCAATCAGGGTTGCTGCTGATGGCGGAGTGAACACAGACAAGTGACTACCTCTTCCCTCGCAGACTGCAGGCTGGTGAGGGCGGGAACCAGAGGGCTTACATCCCTCATGCAGGGCTGTCGTTGGGGCTGCGTGTTTTGCCTGTGATGTAGGAGGAGCAGACTGACCATTCTGCTGGCGTAGAAAGAAGGCAGTGCCTGGCATAGCAGTGTGAGGGAATAGGAGGCTTCAGGAACACTGAGGTAGAAAACAGGCAAACTGCTGAGAGAACGAATCATCCAGACTCCTCAGTGGCCCACAAGGCCCCGTGGGGTGATCTCCCTGGCCACCCTCTACCATCTCCTGCCACTCGCCCTCACCCTCACCCTCACTGTACAGCTGCCACACTCGCCCTTTTCAGGCAACCAAGCTGAGTCCCACTTCAGAGGTAGTGGCTGTTGCCACGGCCCCCAGATCTTGGCCTAGCCATCTGCTTCTTGTTCAGATAAGTCATTTCTCCAGAGGCCTTTCCTGACCACCCAATGTAACTGTCTCCCCACCCCTGGCCCCTGCCAGGTTACTCTTCTCTCATCACCCTGATTTCCTGTGTAAAACATGCCGTTTCTGAATTGGTCTGACTGGATATTGCTATATCTACTGGGGTGGTTAGGGGCAGCGACTCTGAGCCAGATGCCCTGTGTTTGAATTCTTGTTCGCTGTCCCACCTTGGACAAGTTCCTTAACATCATTGTCCCTCAGTTTTCTCCAATGTAATCGGGGCAGTAATAGTGCCATCCCTATGGTGAATCACTGAATTACTATATGTAATGTGCTTAAGTGTCTGGGACATGGTAAGTGCCACAGAAATGTTTGCTGCTATTGTTACCTTCTGTGCCTGAAACACATTTGGCCATTCGTACATATTTGTTGGAGGAAATGAGACCTTCATGGGGACTGTGGACGAGAGCCGCTGGCCTGGTGGGAGGCAGCACTGGGGCAGGTGCCTGCCAGCCAAGCTGCCATCCTCTGAAGCACCTAGAGCTGCTGCTGGCTCTTGGCATTTTTTTAGATGTTACAAATATGAGTGGAGGCTGGGGTCGGTCACAGATGGTGGCAAAGGGCAAAGCAGAGGTCAGACCCAGGAGCCCATGGGTCATTTGGGGGAGGCCCCTGAGCTATCATGGTTCCAACTGCTCTGACCAAAAAGTCTGGGAACTTTAATGCATTTAAGCAAAAGTCTTCCATCCATCGCTGGTCAAAGTGTTAATACTTATAGTGGGAAACCAGGCCATTCCTAACAACTCTTAGAGTGAGCATTTCACTGCTCCACCCACAATGTCAATTCACAGATAGCACAGGGAAAAATAGGGCATCTCTGTCATTACTTCAGCTATAGCGTGTGTATTGTTATATCAAATACATTCCCTGGCTTTAATGCTTTAACGTGGACCAAGTGATGAGCGTTTCAGAGTGTGCCCTTCCTGTTCCCTTCTTCACAGTTTTGCATTTGGCTCCCTAATTTCTGCTGTCGATCCAGTGGCTACTATTGCCATTTTCAATGCACTCCACGTAGACCCAGTGCTCAACATGCTGGTTTTTGGGGAGAGTATTCTCAACGATGCCGTCTCCATCGTCTTGACCAAGTAAGTGTGCTCTCTTCAAGGGACAGAACTGAAGGTCCCAGTAACAAAGGGACGGATGTTTCCATGCAGCCGTGTGTGCAGTTGCTTGTCCTCTGGGTGATCAGTTCACCCGCTTCTCCATCTTTCTGTCCTGACAAGCCCTGATGTGCCCTAGGGATGCTGTCAAGGTCCAGAGTGATCCCCCTTTTATGACCTACCTCTTAGCAGTAGTTTTGAGCGCAGCTTCCCATCTGCACCTGGGGATGCTTATTAAATGAAGCATTCCCAGGCCCCACCCTCAGAGCTTCTAAGTTGGTGACTGGTCTGGGGTGAGTCCTAAGAACTTAGGTTTATCGGTGACGGAGCAGCTGGTTGAGGGATGAGAGTTTGGACTGCATTGTTACAGACGACGATAGACAGAGTCCTTTCTCTCCTGCTTAGGAGTTGTTGCAGGTCACCTTCCTTTTCACAGCCATAGAAGAAGGGTGTGAGACTAATAGGCATCCCTTCTTAAGATGCTGTTGGGTGAAAGCCACTTTGGAAACTGCAGATCTTTTTCAAATGTTCATTGGTATTAATGCCCTTGTTGATAGTATCTGAGACATTAAAGGGGAGTCATCAAATGTAATTGGGGAAAGGAAATGAATTCAAGATCATTTCAAATGTGTTTATTTGATGCAGGGCTATTTCCTTGACCTCTGCATTTTGTGGTGTTCTTTAGCATGTGTGAGCTGGAGACCCAAACAGTTTTGCCAAAAAACAGAAAAGGCACCAACAGTCAAAGCAGCTGGAGAAGAGAGCCCTGTGTAGTGTGTCGGAGAAGAGCCATGAGAATTTTAGGAGCCAGCAGTGTTCTGTTAGAGAATAAAATTTCCACAACCTGAATTCTGTCTTATTTCCTTTGTCGCAAGGTTCCTTACTAAGCCTAACACTCTGTGGTAGTTAGCATTTTCTTAAAAGCTTTATTATAGACTACATTAGAAATTCTGACGTTGGACTAAAGGATGTTTTATAGTGGAAAGAATCCCAATTTTGGAGTCAGGCTGACATGGGCTCAAGTCCTAGAGGTGCCACTGATAGCTGTGTGGTCCTGGGTCGGCTCCTTCACCTCTCTGAGCCACAGGTTTCTCCGTGCTCAAGTGAGGGTGATAACGCCTCCGCCTAGGATTGGATTTGAGGATTGAATAGTTAAGTGTGGGGCTATGTGAAAAGCATCTGACGTCAATTAACGTGAGACCCTTTCCTCTTCTCCTGCCCCTATTATTGTTTCATTGTTTGCCCTGTTTTTAGCCTACTTTGTAGGAAGAACTTATTAAAGGTTGCCTATATTTTATTTTTTAAATATATTTTTATTTATTTCAGAGAGGAAGGGAGAGGGAGAGAGAGATAGAAACATCAATGATGAGAGAGAATCATTGATCGATTGCCTCCTGCACACCCCACACTGGGGAGCGAGCCCGCAACCTGGGCATGTGCCCTGACCAGGAATCAAACCATGACCTCCTGGTTCATAGGTCGCCGCTCAACCACTGAGCCATGCCGGCTGGGCTACGTATATTTTATTTTGATGAACTTATATCCTGTATATTGTACTGCAGCTTTTCCATTGAACAGAGTTGATAAAATAATCTTCTACAACATCGTTTTACTGGTTATAGAATATTCCTTTCTGTGGATTTACTTTGATCTATTTGACCAATTCCCTGTTATTGCCTTTTTCACATTTCTCTTGGTAAAAATTTCTGTAGCTTCATTAGGAAATTCTCATACATCATGCTATAAGACCTTTAAGATATATTGTACTGCAGCTTTTCCATTGAACAGAGTTGATAAAATAATCTTCTACAACATCGTTTTACTGGTTATAGAATATTCCTTTCTATGGATTTACTATGATCTATTTGACCAATTCTTGTTATTGCCTTTTTCACATTTCTCTTGGTAAAAATTTCTGTAGCTTCATTAGGAAATTCTCATACATCATGCTATAAGACCTTTAAGAAATCTGATGGTAATATATTTTTCTTATTTAAGATCTACCCTGTAAGCTTCTTAGCTTTTGGGTTTTGACTTTTATCTCATATTCTGGCTGCACATATTGAGTATTTGTGATAAAGAATTTTGCCCAAATTGGAGATGACATCATGAGTTATTTTTATACATTAGGAGCTAAACTCAATGGCTTTGTCTCTAATTTATTTATTCTTTTAAGAATCTGTCAAAAGTAGGACCTTTTCTGAGCTTTTCCATGACTCTTTGCCACAAAAAGGCCAAAGATTAGGCAATAACTTTCTTTTTAAAATGAGAAATGATGGAGTCATTCATTATAAGTAGTCAGAGGTTCTTCCTGGAAAAAGTGCTTTTGAAGGCCAAGATCACCTATGATGACAGTTCCCCAAACTGCATCTGTGGACCACATGCATAGATAGTTTCCAGCCTCCACCTCCACCACTGCTGGGACACAGGCTCGGGGAGAAGTCACTAAGCCATGTCCAGCCTCGCTGACTCTCCAGACATGCTACAGGCTGGTCATCGCCCTCAGCATGTGGTGATGGCCTCTGTGTTCCAGACACTGTCCAGAGACCAGTTGGACTTGACAAATTCAATCCAACGTGAGAGAAAGATGTTCACAAGGAAGTGAACACAATGGTGCAAGGGGGAAATAGTCACTCTGAAGGATTCGAGTGAGGTTTCTCAGGGGAGCTGTCTTGTGAGCCATTTTCAGTTAGAAGAGGGAGAAAGGAGCATGGTGGGCGTGCCCTTTTTTGCATTACAGGAGGGAGCTGTTGTCAGCATTCCTTGGTTTATAAGGTAGAATCACGTCTTGTTTTTAAGGGTATACTTAATAAATGATCGTTTTCAAAGTGATCTGACACATTTATCTTTGCAACTGAATATAGGAATGAATTACCCCTTTTTAAAAATGTTTTCATTGATTTCAGAGAGAGGAAGGAAGAGGGAGAGAGACGGAAACATCAATGATGAGAGAGAATCATGATAGGCTGCCTCCTGCATGCCCGATACTGGGGATCAAGCCCACAACCCGGGCATGTGCCCTGACCAGGAATCGAACCAGTAACTCCTGGTTCATGGGTGGACGCTCAACCACTGAGACACACTGGCCCAGCATACCCCCTTCTTTAATGTTTTCACTTTTGTAATGCCAGAAAGTTAAGAAGTATCTTCAGTTTCTTCATTAACTTTAATTAAATTAGTTTTAGCTTTGATTTGTTACTATGACAATTTATTCTTAAAATAATTGCTGTAGAGGAAACCTTTTGTTCTCTCCAGCTACAGCTTAAGCTCATGAAATGGAACCTGAAGCAGCATTGTCTTATATTCTTAAGGTGTGAGAAACATGACCTGAAAAAATAAAATGTAGAAAATTACCAGGCCAGAAAGAGTCCAATTCTGCTTTCATTTACCTTGAGTTTAGGAATCATTGGCCTAAGCCTTCTCTCCATAAAAAGAAAGCAGGACACTAGCTGATGTACCATCTGAGGGAGTCATCTGTGGTGGGGGCTAGAACTTACTGTATGCATGTGGCCCACAGATCATTTGGGAACTGTGGGTGATCTTAGCCTTCAAGAGCACTTTCCCAGTAAGAACCCTTGTTGGATCCCAGTATTTCCCAAGGTGGGATGTTAACCTGTGATCTACTAGGAAAGAAAGGAATGGGGGGAGGGGGTATTGTACATTTAGTGAGTTTGAAAAACATTTGTGTGAAAAAAAGTTAGATTAATTTTTTTTGCAAGACTTCCCAGAACCTTTATTATGTTACATTGTACAGTGAATTGCCATGAAAGGCTTCCTGAAGTTATTTGATCAAGCTATCAGATTATCAGAGATTATCTTTAAAATTATACCAATTCATGAAATGTTGAGTAATGAAGCTGAATATTACTATTGACAATTCTTCGCTTTGTGTACTGATTCAGCAAAAATTTATTGAGTGTCTTTTGTGGGCTAGGCACTGCCTCAGGCCTTGGACATACTGCAGTTAAACAGGATTGGTCCTCATGGAACGATTAGTTTTCACGTGCTGTGGAGAAGGTGAGCCACAGGAGAGCCGGTAAATGCTGGCCTGTGCAAAGGGGTCCCTGAGGAAGTAACACTGACCTTGGGTTCTGAGAAACAAACCGGGAAGTTAGGGAGGCCAAGGACATGAAAGGTGACTGTAAGGAGGTGCCAGTCACAGTGGGCCTACCCTGAAGGAGGAGAAATGGGATCAAGAAGTGTGGCAGGGAGAGGAGTCAGGTGGAAACAATATAGGGATTGGGCCGGGGAATAGAAAATAACGGTGGCCAGGAAACCAAGTTAAGAAGGAACGCAAAAATGTCACCACCCCTCCACTCTCTACTCTAAAACACAGAGGTAGCTGATTTTATCTCCCTTCTAACTGCCTGCTTAAACTACTGACCCGCATGCACAGTTGATCAAGGTTTGACTGCTATATGACCTTCCCAGGATGGTGGTAACAGGCAGTCCACCATCTTGCCCCAGTAGCGCCGGTGTGGATGTAGTTACCAAGCAGCAGGAAAAGGAAGTCACCCCACCCTGAAATGGAAAATTCTGCAAGCCTGACTCTTTAAAAAGCCTGCCTTATGGCGCAAGCCTGCTTTGTCCCCAGCTTATAAAAGCAGCCAAGCAGAGCCAGCCCCAGAGCCAGTTTAGAGGACCAGCCTTTCCTCTGTGCTGCCTCCCTGGTGCTCGAGCATAAGCTTAATAAAATCTGTCTGGAAATTTCTCGGGGGGTTCCTGTTGACTTCTATCGTGGGTAACTCAAGAACCCCAACTCTGTTAACAAGGTTATACTAAGAAGACTAGGCTTCCTCCTACAAAGCAGCAGGAAACTGTTGATGGGTTTGAACAGGCCAATAACCTGATCAGATGTGAATTTTATGGGGATCATTCAGGCCATTGAATGGAGAATGGGTTGGGCTCTAGGAAGACAAGGAGGTATAGAGAGAGCAATGGGACAGTGGATAGTAGGGCAGAAAGGGAGAGAAGTGGATGGATTTAAGAGACAACCTGAAGGTAGGATCAGACTGCAAGAGAAGGATATTTAATGAGAATAACTCCATTTTAATGGCATAACAGTTTTCCCTTTGGGGATAAAACCAACAATTGAATTCAATGGCTTCTGACAGTTTTACTTTGTTCTTTTACAATGAAAGAAAAGTTCTTCAATTCTTCCTCCTAATGCCTCCTAAATCCACCCTCTCTGTACCCATCACCTGTACCCAATGACAGTTCTTCTTTTTTTTTTTTAATATATTTTATTGATTTTTTACAGAGAGGAAGGGAGAGAGATAGACAGCCAGAAACATCGATGGGAGAGAAACATCGACCAGCCGCCTCCTGCACATCTCCCATGGGGGATGTGCCCGCAACCCAGGCACATGCCCCCGACCGGAATCGAACCTGGGACCCCTCAGTCCGCAGGCCGATGCCCTATCCACTGAGCCAAACCGGTTTTGGCAAC